TGTGAAAAGCGCTATATAAATAAATTTTACTTTACTATTTTACTAGAATATCAACACCAAAAATATGCCAGGTTAAGTTATTAAGATGCACAGTTATCCCTTATGTTATGTGCAAGTTATCCCTTGCACAGCGGCTTTACGCTACTCCTATTTCATAGGATGGGTTAAATAAAGTGAATGAATTTTCCTAATGGTAATAATAAAAGCTAACTTAAAAATAACACGAATTAAACTTACGCTAAGTAAACAGACAAACAATCTGATTTGTTTATTGACTGCTGTGCCACACACTTGGAAATCACAGATGTCACGAGCAAATTATAAATTACCGATATATCCACCTACTGACTTGTAGGGAATGAAAACACTCAATGCGTAACGTGGAAAAAATAAAATCGGCTGCTCTCATCACCTGCATGTGTGTGTTTATGTGCACGTGTGTGTATTACCTGTCCGTATCGGGCCGCGTAGTGGATCAAACTGGGATGTTCTCTGGTGCAGCTCAGCTCGGCAATGGCTTCTGTCTCACTTACCATCCACCTCACGCACTCCAGATGACCATTCTACAACAAACACGCACTCATGTTTCAATCACTTCGAGCCATATCAGCCGGTGCATGTCCAAACTGCAATGTGACCATGTGCTTCTTTGAAAAAAAGCTAACGAATGTTCTTCATGCGGGCAACAACTTCACCTAAAATAAGCAGAGTTTTTCTAGGAGTAAGAACGGGGCTGGCACAATTTATTTCTTATAGAGTGTTACAGTGAGAAAAGACAGCTTCCTAAAATGTCACAACATGATTCTTGTGATATTTTCCAGAGAGGAACCATTGCTATGAACTTATTTGGGTCTTTAGATCCAAACTGTTATGTACTACTGATATGTGGCCTAAAAAGTAGCCAAGTTCCCACAATGAGTCAGTGAAAAGGTTTATGTCCGTGCAACGTGAGTAATACGACTACATTCATTTAACATACTTCAGCCTGGACCAGGTGGCTGGAAATCTGTCGTCCTGTTAATCTAAGTGTATAAACAACAGTCTTGTTAATAACAACCAATCAGGAATCAGCAAACAGCTGCAGAGCTTGTCTCCAGATAACACACTTCCCTTCTGGCAGCCAATCAAGAGCCTAGTTTCCACTACAGGGCTGCCAAAGCAGGACCTGCTCATATTTGCGGCATTTAACTTCTTTCTTTCTAACATCCTGCGGCTGCCAATAGAGCTGGAGTAAATGTTTACCTAATTTTATCAGAAACCTCCATCTTATTATTACAGTATGACCTCACTGACCAGCTGTCAGTTACCAATCAAATGTCTGCATACCCTTGTTAGCTTACAGATGTTTTTTTCTACTTTCAGGAGGACTAATATTTTGACCTGTAGGTACGAACAGTGGGAATTTGAAGACTTAAAGGGTATAGAGGCACATTACATTCACATCAAGCGGGGTAGATACATAGCTAAAATAAGGCTGAAGTTGCATAAACACATTTTTTACACTTTTGTTGGGCTTTACCTGACAAACAAGATACTGCAGTTAATGTGTGTAACATGCATGATGACACCGCTGAATGCCAACACTGCTGGGTGACCCTGAACACACCACACAGTGGGGTGCCAGTACTCTAGCTTGATGTAATTCAAAGTTGTCTTCTCAATGTCATTAAAGCAGAATCTCTGGCAGCACTTGAATACAAACATGTTACTTTGGAGACATACACCCAGTCTAACACTGAAGTTCACCTTGACCCCCAGACCAGCGGGGGTGAGCTGCTGGTTGTTGCGCTCATTGAGACAATCCTCCCCCATCAAAGATGTGAGATGCTGCAGACAGTCGGCGTGGCCCTGAGAGGCCGAGATGTGGAGCAGGTTGTTTCCATCCTCGTCTCTGATCAGCTCCAGATTATCAGCTGCCAGGTGAGGCTGCACAAGGAGGACAAAGAGGAGAAAACACAGAGGTTGTGAAGTGTAAAGGACGACGGGGTGATGAGGAGAAGGATGACAAAATATGATGAAATACGCACCAGCAATGAGATCTGTCCTTCTCTAACGATGTTAATGATGTTCTGGTTCTTCTTGGATTCCTCGTCTACTTCCCCTCCTGCTCCACCACTCCCTCCAAACCCCCTTGACCCACCTCCCACTCCTCCTGATGCAGAAGCCCGGGATTTGGAGCTGTCCTGCCTGCTCACGCTGCCCCCTGGCAGAGGGAAAATTAGTCCCGGGCCCCCTGGAGGGTCCACACTTGGTCTCTGGCTCTGAGAGTCTGGATAGACCCGTGCAGACAGCAGTTTGTCTGAAAATCATGTCATGTCTTTATATGTATATATATGTTAGCACAGAAGAACTGAACAGAGGACAGTACATTTATTTAATACCTGCATCAGAGAAAGAAGAGAGAGAGGAGGAGCAGCTAAGGAGGCCAGAAGACATCTCTGGCTGGTAACCTCCTCCTCCACCTGGGGATCGGTGGAGGTGGTGGAGGTCTGGATCCATTGATTTGGACTTCCTCAGGTCAGACCACTTCACTGGTGACAGAACGCAATACTGCAGAAAACACCAAGTGAGCTTTTAGTTTAAGTGAGAAAATTACAGTCACAGTTATATTGGAGTTTGCAGAGGGTCCCAGTGCGGTGGAAGACATCATGCCCCGTCCCTGTACCAAAGACGCCACATCCCAGTGGCCCCCAGGATTACAGGCCTGTGGCACTGACCTCCCATATCATGAAGACCCTGGAAAGACTCATCCTGGACCAGCTCCAACCCATAGTCAGACCACATCAGGATCCCCTTCAATTGGCTTACCAGCCCCGACTCGGGACTGAGGACGCCATCATCTACCTGCTCAATCGTGTCTACACCCATCTGGACCAGCAGGAGAGCACTGTGAGGGTCATGTTTTTTGACTTTTTCCAGTGCATTCAACACCACCAGGCTGACTCTCCTGGGTGATAAGCTAACAGCGATGCAGGTGGATGCTTCTCTGTGTCCTGTTGATTACCTGACAGGAAGACCACGATACATGTGTCTTCCACATTGTGATGGTAATTAGCAACACAGTGGCACCACAAGGGACCATCCTCTCCCCCTTCCTCTTCACCCTCTACACCACAGACTTCAGCCACTGCACAGAGACCTGCCATATTCAGAGGTTTTCTGATGGCTCTGTGGTGGTTGGATCAGCGGGAGTGATGAGTCAGAGTACCGGGCTGTGGTCGACTCCTTTGTCACGTGGTGCGAGCAGAATCATCTGCAGCTCAACGTGGCAAAGATCAAAGAATTGATTGTGGATTATAGGAAGACCAGGAAATCCACGGGGTCAGCGTGGACATTGTGACATTGACTATAGATACCTTGGAGTACACATAGACAATAAACTGGACTGGGTCAAAAACACCACTGCACTTTACAGGAAGGGCCAGTGTCGTCTCTATTTTCTGAGGCAGCTGAGGTCCTTCAACATGTGTCGGGCAATGCTCAAGATTTTCTAAGGGTCTGTTGTGGCCAGAGCAATCCTCCATGCTGTTGCATGCTGGGGCAGCAGGTTGAGCATTGCTGATGCCAACAGACGCAATAAACTGATCCACAAGGCCAGTAATGTTGTGGGTATGGAGTTGGACTCTCTTAAAGTGGTGTCGGGAAGTGAATGTTGTCCAAGATAAAGACAATGTTGGACAATACCTCCCACCCGCTCCATGACATGCTGGTTAGCCACAGGAGCACGTTCAGTGAGAGACTGAGATTACCAAAAAGCACCACTGAACAACACAGGAAATCATTCCTGCCTGTGGCCATCTCCCTGTACAACTCCTCCATCTAACACACTGTAAACACTGCAATAGTTACATCTTTTGCACACACTCTTTTCTTACTCGGTACTGTTGCTGTCAATTTTCTTGATATTTATTTATATTCACATCTGTCAACCCCGGATATTTATTATTTGGTGATTTGTATATATTGTGCTATTCCTTATATCTTAACATACTGTATTGTTGAATAGTCTAGTCTATTTCTGTTAATGTTACTGTACCCACATAATTTCCCTTGGGATTAATAACATATGCTGATTCTGATTATACTTATATACATTTCTCTGCTACTGATAAACATCGGTGGTTCAAATATTGTGCCCTTTTCTGCATATGATTACTTCACTGTGTACTTCAAATATTAAACAAGATGGTTATTGAAAATGAAAACAGGCACAAAAACATTTTACATTAAAAGATAACTTTAGCTTCATCCACATTAGCTTCACTTTAAAAAGTGGTAGCTATATTTATTTGTTTATGTATATGTTTAAGTCTGGACAGAGGCACTGTAAATACAAACAGAAATATGAAGCATAAAAGATGCTGGCTGACTCACCTGAGTTTGTGAGCTACTACTGCTGCCCAGGCTCAGAGGCTCATTGTGGGTTAAAGTGGAGTTCTTCAGCCCTCCTCCCCGATTCCTCTCCAGTGTGCCTCCACCTATGTTGCTCCCTGTCACTGACCGCTTGTCGTGGGGAACACGGGGCAGCGTGGACATCTGCTGAGTGGACTTGATATAAGGCACATCCAGGATCTCATCCATGTCCAGGTCATAGTGCTCCAGTTCCCCAAACAAAGCCTGGGGGTTGTTGCTCCCTCCAACAACACCAACACTGCTGCCCAGGCTCTTAGCCTTTCCCCCCTGCCCGTCAGAGGAGGCATTAGTCTGTTTGTCAGGGTCATCCTTACTACTCTCAACTGGCTCCCCCAGAACCAGCCCCTGACCTTGGACTTTACCATCGGTCTCTGCGTCAGTGGTTTCTGGTTGGTGCTTAAGAGGTGAGACCCTCTTCACCGGCCGGAACTTACTGTGAACCTCAGCAATGCCTGTGGGTTTGATTCCCCCGCCGCTGTGGGAGGACACACTGCGGCTCCAATTGATGGCTGGAGCTGCAGGAGGACAGGATGATCAGAGATCTGATCTAAACTGTTTCAAGCCAAACTGTAATTATATTATTGTTAAGTTACCTTGCCTCTCCTCTGCCTGACCATCGCTTCTCCTGGACAGCTCAGGGATGCTCTTCAGAGACGTGACAGAATACTGTAAGAGGATGAGGAAAGATAAAAAAAAAAAAAAGAAAAGACAGAAAATTGTACGCAGCAGTCCAGCAGCTGTGCAAGGAAGTTATATTTAGATATTAGCCAATTACTTTAAGTACTGACAGATTGTGACTTGAAGCAGTTACAGCTGTGTAATTTTAAACTCCTTCCTACGCAGACCCAAAGCCAAGAAAATCTGTCCAAATCCTTCCGTCATGAAAGTTAACGGAATAAAAAAAATGCACTGACTAAATGCGACCAAGAACAGAGCAGTTCGAGGCCACCTTGACTGCACGATGCTGCAGTCAAGGCCACCTGTATCATCCCAGCCATCAAAATTGATACAATGCTATGGGCTGGCTAATTTATTTTATTTTCCTATTTATCAGATAGATAAAACAGGTCCTGCCACTTAGCCTTAGGGTTAGTGTGTATGGCTGATTTATACTGTAACTTAGAGGAACGTGCATTCCTGATCCATGCCTTTGCCACTACCCTAAAGGCCTACATCCTGTGGAACCTGTGCAATGATCACTAACAGCTGTCTGCAGCTGGCTTTGTCTGAGCATCTCTGACTTTAACCTGATCTGTTTTCTGTGGTGTGTCAGTTGGTTATCAGCTTCAGCTCTTCATCACTTTTTATCTGAGGTTACTGCCTGAGTCTGCTGCTGGCACCATCTGCACAGACATGGTCTGGTTATATGTGGACAATCCAGGCCCAAGTGAACCTCTAATGTATTTACTAGCACATCATATGTCAATTGACACTCACTGGTAGTCTCTTGAGTTGCTCACCTGAAAATCTATCGTTTTCTTGCCCATTTCATGTTGTCATTAGTCATTTCACCCGCAGCTGTTTGAAGTTGCCAAATATCATTCACTTTTTACAGTCTCTCAATGCCACGTCCCTGCAAATTGCTTCCAGTGTGCATGTAACTTAACTCTCTACTGTTGAACTCCAGCACTGCCAACATTTTTTTTAAATCTATTTGCCTTTCATTTAAAGTGTTGTTTTTTTAAGTTCCTGCAAAAGTACACATTTTTTTATAAAGTTCACCAAATGTGGATGATTTGAAGTGAATCAATAGTCATGCTAATCATTGATCAAAATAATATTTTTTTAAGCACTGAGCAACCATAAATATGCTTATTGCAAAGTTAGTATTATTTACATAGCTGTGTGTAAACCGAAGGGTGGTAGTGAATATCATCTTCTTGAGCTCCAGAGATACGCAAAGACTGAAGTGCTTTATATTCTGTTAGCTGTGTACAACCCCATCAAACTTTACTGGTGATGAAGATGCAGCTGGTAGCTGCGCCCCCGTGGGCAGCTTGTCATATCATACTGACCACTGAATCATCAGAGAAGTCGATCTCATCCAGGTCGAGGTATTCAGGAGCCTCCATCTTCACACCACATCATCAGCCTCACAACCAGCTGCAGAGAAAAAGGCAGGATGTCAATGTGTGACTATAAAAGCACTAACAAAGCAACAGGATATCACTAATGGTTTCCCTCTGCTCATCAGCATTCAAAGTCAATAGACAGTTTTGTGTTTCTGTGTTTGATGAATGTTTGACCTGATGTTTGACTCATTGTTTTTGGTTTAGCTGAGCCAATTAAAAAAGTCCAGTTTTTAAATTTATGGGAACAATTTGTAAAGAAAAAAAAAAAAGTAGACTTGGGTTTGACTGGTAATTATTCCTCACGCTTATCTTTTTTTTGGGGGGTTGCATTACATATAAATCAGGACAATAAAAGCCACAACCTTCTTTGCCTAGCTTTTTTATTTAGCAGCATTTAAATCATGAAAATGAAAAAAAAACCTCTGGGAATTACTGCTGCAGTGATATGATCAGCAGGGATAAAACACAGGAAGTAGCTGCAGGAAACAGTTTGGCTGAAAATGTGCATTGAAGTGCTTTTTGATTATCTTTTTCTAACTGATATGACAAATTTCTGCACCGGGAACAAAGTCACAGAACAAATAACAAAGTCACTTCTATTTTAAGGAGAATTTTCTCTTTCACCCACCAAGAAAGGGCTAAAAGGGATTATTTGAAGCAAATCAAATCCTCTTCTACTGGGTAATGCCGCACATTTAAAACTGTCTAAAGCCCTAACTGTCAACTGCACAATCTGACTGAGCAGTTGTGATCAAAGGCAACAAACAGCAGGATAATCAGGACTAATCACAGAGCAGCGTGACTTGTACCATGAGCGCGCAACCTCAACAAACACAAGAGCAAGAAACTCCCTGGCAACAAAAGCCAAACTCTGAAACAAGAAACAGAAAAAAACAAATCTGTCAAATCTGAAAGTTTTCACTATTTTTTTGTACAATAACTTTAGGCTATCTAATGAAGCTATGCAAAATTTTACTGCCGCATTAGGAAACTTTTCTGCCTTACATGGCCTCTGAGTACGTAGGAATTCATTTTTAAAATGCCTAAAATTTCCAACATTTTTGTGTCCTCTTAACATCATAGGTAGAGGATAACCACATGACAATTTCAGGGATGATAAACACAAGCTGCATGCCTTCATTCATTGCTTTGTAAAGTGTGAGACGAACTGCAAATGAGACTATTCGCATTCAAAACAAAAGTTGGACTTTCATGCAGACGTAAAAAAAATACGTGTGAAACTCTGCTTTGTAACTATCCCCACTAGTGAAGACTGTCATTTCCAAAACCCTGCCCCCCCACCCCCCGCTCGCGGTCCGCAGCGCTGTTGAAAAGGCTGTGGAAGTCCCTGTATTAAGCACGTAAACCTGTGGCACAAAAATCACCAAACTGGGACCACCACAGACTGTTTTCCTTCGTGGTGATGCTGGCATGTAAAAGGGCATTTATTCCCTTCAAGGACCTGAAGCTCCATAAAGCACCCCTCCAACAGCCAAACCCATCTGTTCTCTGATTGGATAGTTAAATTTGTGATTGACATGACATTGGCCAATCAGATGAAAGGAAGAAAAGTAGGGTCAAAATGTGTACTTTTTGCACACATACAAATTCTTTTTACACATACAAATCTTTTTTACAAGTACAAAATATTTATGACCACAATTTGAGCCCATAAATATCACCTGACTACATGAAACCTCCAATAACCACTCACAACCTGTGGTTACCAGGGGATCACTGACTAATCATTGGGCCTGCATGAATGTGGCTGATTGGGGGCAAGTATAGTTTTCACAGCAACTTTTAGCAACCACTCTGGAACTGGTCATAGGGTTGTCAACTGGTCTCTAGGCTGGTGTGACTAAGGCCTAAGATGGCTAGTGAGGTTTCCAACTATTACTTTTGTTCATTAATCAATTTACATACTAACTCTATAAAAGTCTCCAGAGCCCACAGGGATGTTTCCAAATTACTTCTTTTGTCAGAGGGAGAGAGAATGTGAAAACACATATTGAACAGATTCCATTTACATGACAGCACAGAAAAACTCAACAATCACATCCGCACTGTTTCTAGTTAAGATCCTGCAAGGAAAGAGAAGACATGTCATCAGCTCGTGTCATTCATCAGTGTCATTCTCTTTCTTTGAAAATCCGGCTGTTTTTTGAGTTCAGAGCTCATAACAACGATCAGATCAAAGATGAAACTGGCGTTGAAAGCTCTTCATAGAAACCAAACTCACACAGACTAGTTTCTGGTATTTAGTAAATTACTTTAAAGCTCTATTTGTCACGACTGGGGCAGCAGCCGTGTGATGAGTGGAAAGGAGGACTCAAATGCAGCATTTACTAAGATGTGAGGGTGGTTTATTAAGAATACAGAACACAAAGAGGGGGATGGCAAAACAGAACTAAGGAGAAACTAAACTGGGAGAAACTAAACCATAGAATAGCAAACCTGAACACGAAGGGAGGAGAGCACACAGAGGATTCACGGAGTAATGCAGAGACACACAGGTAAAGAATACAGACGACACGACGAGGAACAGAGACAGACACACACTATAAATACACAGAGGGACACTGGGAAATCACACACAGGTGGGAGACACAGCTGGACCTGATTATGCTGATGAGACAGGGAACACTAACACCAGGGACCAACAGGGGGAGCACCAACCCAGAAACCCAGTATCCAAAACACAAACCATCCCAAAACAGCCCACAAATAATAATAATAATAATAATAATAACAACAACAATAAATACACCAAACACAAAATCACTGATTCACGGACTCAGGACCACGACACTATTAGCATATTTTTATAATAACACTTGAGGCCATTTTAATTCTATGTTTCCCACTTACAAAATAACTACCAAAAACTGCCAAAAAGTGAAAAATATACTTCTTAGAATTGAAAATAAGATGTGCTGAAGAAAAGATGAGACATCAAAAGATAGACACATTATACAGAGAAGGAGATTTCACTAAATAGCCAAACAGCAATAGAAAGTCGATGTTGCCATGTTGTGTGGCACATGTATACTGTAGAGGTTCAGTTTCAGCTGAATGGGAGTGGGTGTATCTGTAGGTAAATACACTTCTTGAAATGTTCCTTGGCTTATTATTGAGTTCCTGCCCCTTTATATCCCATGGTTCATGTTCACCTGAACCTCATATAGATTTTCTTAAAAAGTAAAATTTTAAGAATAATTTTAAGGTAAAAAAAAAGACTGTTTTATTTAGCTGATAATATTTAGCAATATTGCATGGAGGAAAGATGCCAGTCCTATATACGATCTCATTATGCAAGTTAAAGAACATACGCATGGTCAAAAATGACTCGCATTACAACAGGAGGACACAATAATACCACCCAGAGTATCAGGTTAGATACAGGCTTTCTGAATTTTTTAGGGCCAAATAGAGTGACCTCGGTTTTGTTCAAGTTTTGAAGTTGAAAATTACAAGTCAGACTGCCCTCTATGTCTCCAAGACATGCCTGTAGCTTCAGTAATTGATTTTTTACCCCTGACTTAATAGTTAAAGAAAATCAGGTATTATCTGTATAGTAACAGAAATGTATCCATGTGTAACTGCATTGCTCTCTGCACTACATGAAACCCCATAGAACTCATGACTCCATCTTTTGTATGAGAGGAAAAAAACCTCCAAGTTTACATAAAGAAACTGGAACTGGACAAATATGATTTAAAGCAGCACAGCAGATTTCTAGCTTCATCCTTCTCATCTGAAGCAGCGTGCCATTCGTTCAGTGCTTTATTACTTGCAAGTGGGACGGGTAGCTATTTTTTCTCAAACAAAGTAAACATTTTCTGTGTTCGTTTATTTAACATCTTATTTGGCTATAAGTGGAATTTTATACACACAAGACTGACGAAATGTATGCATATTTAGAAAGAGGCTTCAAAAGAGCTACAATAAATCCCAAATTGTTACAAAGGTGGCTTTAAAAAAAGCGGCAAGATTTCTTAAGACTAAATTTGTGCTGATGTTAAAAAATATCTATACACACAAATTAGAAATAAAAAATGAAAATGAAAAAAACTGATTGCTCATTATCCCCATTATTTGCAAGAAATCTGCAGCTTAATCAGTGATGGAAGTATTAGTCACGAGAGGATCACAAGAACCTAAAATAACACCATGGCCACAGTGGAGTCAGACTGTGAGACCTCTCACGTCATCAGGTGGTGTACCTACAATAAGATCCAGATGTTCTGAGGGAACATTTCATTTCTTTGGCCCTTTCTTTCGGGATCATGGTGCCTGTTGATGTGAGATCACTTACAGCTATCTACATTTAGAACCAAACTGAAAAATCGTCAATTTTCTCACATATATAATAAGTTACTGTGTGCCGCTGTGCCATACCTCGCCTTAAAGAAGCTTTAACCCCTACTCTACCACCTAACTTTCTCATCTTTGATTACTAACATTTTTTTCTTTGTACACTGCTTTCAGAGAAAAATAAAGCAAGAAGTAATTTAAAATTCATATGGTCATTTTCAAGGCAATAATAGAAATGTGTCTGTTTTTCTGGCCACACATTAAGACTACGCTTAGAGATTTCTTTATGTTTTGAGAGGAACAAACGTCCCGTCATGGAAGTCCAAGATGTTCAGAAAGCAACAAACTGGTGCGTCCGTGTAAGACTGGAGCTGTTTTCAGACTGCGTGGGAGTCAACGGGTCAAAATAAAAAACCCTCTGATTGCAGCTTTGAGAAAGAGTCGAGCCTGCATATCCTTGATAACAACAGTTTAGGCTTCAAAACCCGACATCAAAAATAACATGGAACTTTTAAAGAAAAGAAAAGGAAGGAGGACAAGGTCTGCTCACTCTGTTTATGTGAACAGCTGACGAGTCCAAATCCTTCCAGGCAGCAAGACACAAAAATAATCAGAGATGAAGCGTTGTTTTGGAGGAAAGACAAGAAACAAGGATGGGAGTTTATTCTTTCCTCAAAGCGTAATTAGAAATTTACTGCATGCTACTTCGCATTTCCCATGGAAATCAGTGAAACTAAAATCCACCTTCCATCATCTCAAAGTCTCCCTTATTTACATGTTTTGACTTGTTTGTTGAACTGGTGTAAAAATAGAAATGGAAGCAGTGATCTAACGACCACTGGGAGGAGGGAATGCACACAGCACCTCTAAAACCCTGAACTCCTCGTGAGGTTAGTTGGGTTCAAGCTGAGCCCTGCCAAACACAGGTTGCAAGATAAAGCTGTAAATCAGACAGAATCGAGACCTGGAGTTTCTTCAGAGCTCACCAAGTTAAATCTACATGTGTAACCGGTGTGATTCTCCGTTGTGTCTGATAAAAAAGGTAAAAGAAAGAAAGACCTCCAAGTAAATAATTTGCCCACTCCAGCTCCTCTCCCACAGGGGAATTGTAGAAAAGGCTGGCATTTATTTTTACATTAAACATAAAGTACGCATTTACACATAACATATTTGACATAAGATAAAACAAAAACAAAAACATGAAATCCGACATACCTGATAAAAAAAGGTAAAAGAAAGAAAGACCTCCAAGTAAATAATTTGCCCACTCCAGCTCCTACGACCAAATACAAACAGTGGGGAAGAGGGTTAGCTCAACCCACCACAACTTCCAAGCTAGCAATGAATATATATTCATGCTAGCATTTATGGCGCCTAAAACACATTTATGATACACACATACTACACACTTATAACATCTAACAAAAACAGGCTTAATAATGACAATAATTGAACTAAAATCGCAATCAGAAACATCCAGGTGGCTAAATATGCATTATATGTGTGTTTTAAAGTGTTGGAAAGAAATGACACCCACCTCTCCCACAGGGGAATTGTAGAAAAGGGGAGAGGCAAAAGGGGTACACTGTATTTATAGGATTGCACCGAAGAAAAGAATGAGGAGGGGCTCTAACTGATAATGAACATAACTACAGGCTTGGAGGTCCTAAAAGTCAGGTATAAAAGGAACGGTTTTTGGGTTTCGAACACATTTTGGGTAATTACAGTAGAAAACCCACACTGACAAAAGAAACTGCAATGATAGCCACAGCATATAACAATAACTCCCATGACACAACTGACTAAATGGATGCTACCCGGGGAGACAATGAGCAGTAGAAAATAGAAAATAGTTGATAGATTACCCAATTAAAGAGGAACAGCTAATATCAGCACCCTATTTTTATTCTTGGACTTGGCATCATTCACAGTTCATTATTTATCTTTATCAGGGCATCCAGTTCATCTTCTCTCACTCAAACAAGCTGCTTAAAATCCTCCACTTTTAAGCTAACTTTCTTCTGATTGTCTGCCTGTCACCAGCAGAAACAGTCGCTAAGTGAGGCTTCTGTACTTAGAACCCTCATTGCCATTATGTGCCAGTTTTCAACCAGTGCTCCCCTGGGACTGCTGTGGTTACAGGAGCCATTCAGCTCCTCAACCAGTGTTTGCACCAGAGAAATAAACGCTACTTTCAAGTAGCCTCGCATGTTTGATTTGACAGGTGGTTACTTTACCTATTCTGGCCTTAATATTAGTTGGAAGCAGTCTGATAGATAACAGTTATGTTTTCCAGTAAAAACTGAGGAAATTTATCAAAGATCTGCAGAATTCAACACCTCAGAAAAGAAGATTGTCTGCACACTTTAAGTGTAACAAACCAATACTTCTGCTCAACAACTGTATTACACGTTGTACAGAAACGGCATTAAATAAGAAATCAGATCAATGAAATCAGCAGGTTGCATTCCAACACAAAAGCTTTAAAATATGCCAATATTGAGAAAGATTCATTTGAAATACAGATTAACTCAAAATGTGCATGTAATTAGCGAAAAATCACTACCGTGAGGTTTTTGTTTTGATGAATATCATTATAGAATTTATGTTGCAAAGACAAAAATGAGACAAAACTCAAATTAACATCTGAGATCAGTGTTTTTGTGATTCCTGCTTCATTTTCCTCTATACCCAAAAGGAATACTTCGCACTAGACAAGATTTAAACCAATCAGAAAGCACTACTTGCGTACTTTAAATGACTAAAAGTACTGTACATGTAGTATGGCAACACTTTAAGAGCAGATAAAAGTAAAATACGAGAAATATTTGACTTTATTTAAAAGGACAGTTAGTATGAAGCAGACTTAAAGAGGCCAACAGAGCCCTATGCTTTCTGCTTTATAAATGACAACAAAGGATGGGAGGCGAGTGTGCTCCTATGATTCTCGCTGACAGCTTGTTTAATCCTCGGATACCTGCTCAAGCAGCAGGAGGCTAATCAGTTAAGCTAGCTAGCTAATCAGCATCTAAAGAGGCTAATGTGGAAGCTAACAGGCTAGCCAGGCTGGCAGTTGGAAAATTGGGTCAAAGAGAAAGCTCAGGTAAAAGATAAGGCGGTCGGAATAAGGAGCCGTTAGCTCTCGGTTAACGGACAGTTTTCAGACACGGTACCTTTCGGAAGTCAGGCAGCCGAGGGGGGTTAGCCGGTTTGAGGAGCTGGTTGCTGCTAGTGGTAACGCTAGCTGGATGGTTGTTGGATCCAGCTGTTTTTTTCCCTTCTGTCGCCTCTCTGTCTTGAAAAGCACAAAGACTTTGACATATGGGCAGCACAAAGCGCCGGAAACGGGGTGAGCGCTCACTCTGAGGAAATTTCCCAAGACCACGTAGTGTGGAGAATAGAAAAACTTCACTTTCTTTTTGATTTTTTTAGGCTAAATAAAGCAAAATAAATAAATAAATAATAAAAAATTAAATAAATAAATAAATAATTTGTGTTTGTTTTCTTTTACTATTGTTGTGCAGCGGGGTAGCTTATTCACTAAGGTGCAAAGCAAGAATAATACACATTTTCAAAAGAATTTGAAATAATATCTAAGAAATTTCATAGCATTGAAAATAATGTCAAACATTTTTTTATTTATAAACAAGAGTTTACAAAAAAGTGTTTTCTAGTAAACGTAGAGTAGGTAGTAAAGCAGGTAAACGTAGTAAGATCTCAAGTCCCCCCAAAAACACAAGAACAAAAGACAAACCCCACATAAACAGCATGACTAAAATGAAAAGCACAGCGAAATTACCATAATAATAATGTTATCAGTAAACAAAATAATAAGTGAAATAAGTGGGGAACAATCCTAGGATGACTGGGCTAGGTCAGGGTTTGAACAGAGAAGTTTGCCTTTGAGTTTTAAGCAAAAGGGACTGAGTGACAGAAACTGCTAAAAGCTGGAGACAAAATATAGACTTAAAAGACTGATATATAATATATTATAGGGTTGATCGTCAGAGGCTTTAATTCAGTGTTTCACATGTAGAAACAAAGAAATTGAAATTGAAGAAGGGGGGATGTGTTGTTGTTGACCATTTTGAGGTCCAACAAGTGCTATTTGAACAATCAAAGCTATGCCTATGTATCTATGTAACTGAGAAAGAGTGGAGCTGGACAAGCCTATATTGAGTTACATTAGCCGCACTGAGAGGCTTTGATAAATGTTTATAAAAGTCCTTTATAGAAATGCGAAGATAAAATTGTAGATAGTACATCAAAAAATATTATTAATTGTTCTAATAATGGTAATAATGAATCTTCAACTTTGTTACAAGA